GTATTCTGACGCCAATTACGACCGCATGCGTCCACATCACCGCCTATATTGCGGTCAGATGCATCCGTCAAAGTCACCAAATGCCCTCATTCAGCGCCAGCGCGTGAACCTGTTCCCTTTTTTGGCTTATCACGCGGGGAACGTCGCAAGCCGGAAAAACGGCAATTCGCGCGCTAACGCGCAGAGCGACGATTTCTTGAAATCACCCCAGGGGCACAGTAAGACCTTTACTCATTTGGTCATACTCGCGGTCAGATACATCCAAATAGGATCGTAATTACGGTAATTATGGTCAAATTCATTGAAGATTGTGCTAGTTTGAGCTGCTCTGACAGGAGTCTGGCATTCGTCGTTTCTTCATTGGTGGAACATGTGGACAAACAGAAAAGGAAAGGCGACCCAAGGTGGCAGCCGACGGAGGGAATTGAGCGCCTGCTTAAGCGCCAACCGACGGGAATTGAACCCCTCTTTGAACCCCTCCAGCCGAGGTTTTTTCTTTTCCCCTTTTTTTTGCCCTTGCAACTTTTCAAAAAAGGGCTATCAAGCATGGCAGGCGAACGGGCGTCGACCCCATCCTTGAACCCCCACTGTAGTGGATTAAACCCCTCCTTGGAGAAGCTGAACCCCTTCTTGGAGGAGCTGGACCCCCTCCTTGGAGGAGCCGAACCCCTCCTTGGAGGAGCTGAACCCCTTCTTGGAGGAGCTGGACCCCTCCTTGGAGGAGCCGAACCCCTCCTTGGAGGAGCTGAACCCCTCCCCTTTCTGGAAGGAAGCCCCTCGCCTCCCCTATACTGAAAGGGCGCCTATGGGCTTTAATGGGAGTCCACTAATATGCCAGGGTCCCAGCCCACATGCGCCGTGTAGTTTAGTTTTCTACAACTGTGTGACGCCAAAAGGCAGGAAAAGAAGGTTGAAAACTGTGTGACGCCAAAAGGCAGGAAAAGAAGGTTGAAAAATGTGTGACACCAAAAGGCAGGAAAAGAAGGTTGAATTATCTTCTTATTTGATTTCATTCATTCTAGTGCCATTAGGAATAGAACTCAGGTCTTCCTTTCAACAGTTCATGGGTGTGCCACATCCTATTCCTCCTATTGGACAGAATAGATCCTTGGGGCCTAGACATGTCTCTGACAAACCAAACCTGGCCTTACCTTCCCCCTGCATTCACTGAAGAGGAAAATCCCCGTGTAGTTTACTATCTGAAAAAAAACTCATAGAAAACTACAACGCCCGTTCCTCTCCTGCCATCCCCAACGTGACCCCAACATGACACCCCAACCAATCACAAAACAGTAGGTTGCTGTCTCCCCTTCCAAAAGGGCGGTTCGTGTAATCCTACCGTCCGTTTGTCAGATGATCAACGGTTCGCAGTGATCCCACAGTCACAAAGGTAGCAGAAAACTATACTACACGGCTGCATGTGGGCCGAAACCACTGGTTTTTCATTCTTTTTTTTTTCACTTTGGCATATAATAGACCCACAGGTCAGACGAAAGAACAAAAAAAACAAGGAGCCAAAGGTGACGGCCCTTCCCGTTCTTTTCCCGCCTTCTGCTTTGCGCCAACGGGTACCAGCTAATGCTCTTTTTTTTTTTTTTTTCAGCAAATGCTCTTTCGTATAGACGGTGCAATCAACAGATCTACCCGCCCCCACTTGAGGAGGGTTTTTTTTTTTTTTTTTTTTTAATTCATGCCTTATAAGGCTTATATTGAATAAAGCATGCACGAGGCCGGGGTCCTCACAGTCTACCCGGAGTGAACCAAAGGATCTGGGAGCCTTACCCAGTTTCGGTTTTTACGCGACCCAAAACGGGACCCGAGTAACACAATCCAAACCAGCCAATCCAATTCTACCTAGCTACTATAGATTCAAATTCATGTCAAAATTTAGCGAACCAAACCTAAACCAAGCATGTAACCTATACCTACCTATCAAACAAAAAGACACAGTTGGCAAAGGAAAACAATGCCCTTTTCCTGCCACAAATTTTAACAAACCAATCCTAAACCACGTATGCAACCTATACCTGCCTAGCAACTGTCCTACTCGAGCCCTTCTAGTTGGTACCTACTCGACAGGCCAAGATGCAACCATCACTTCAAGCATTTGTCAAGATACTTTTCCTTTGGTCACTTCAGCTTAACTGTCTCAGGAGGCCTCGTCACCGACGATCTTCGGTTTCAACAGATGGCACTATTTTCTAAGATTTCAACTTCTTGTTCTCCTAAAAATCAACTGTCTCCCGGAGGCCTTCTCATCGTTGATCTTCAGTTCCAACAGTAAGGCATTAATTTCCTAATTTTAAATCTTATTTTCAGAATCTACGGATGGGTGAGTGTTGAGGCCAAGATCTACGAAAGGACTCTGTGGAACTTACCCTGCGGGAAGAAGACCCTCTGAGGACCGACCGCCACTGGAACCTGGAGCAGGGAGAGTATAAGTAACCGGCACGTGACCAGTCGCTGCAGGCTGACTCGACTCGCGCGGAGCAGCTTCGGGATTTCGTCCGCCGACAGCTGCGCCCATCACATAAGCAAACCTGCGGTCACAGCACAACCACCAAGTCTGCTTAGAGGCCGAGTTGTTTTTCTCGCCCGACTCTGACCAGACTCTGCACGCGTCGCTCAACCTTTTTCATGCCATAAATTCTTGGCTCAATCTTCACCCCCCCCCCTCTCCCCCCCTAACCAGGTCCTCGCTTCTCATTCACTCACCAAACTAGTCAGTCAAGGTCCTCTTCTCATTCAAACCCGTTAAGTCCCCCCCTTTTCCTATTTGTCAAGGCATCATGAATCCCGTTCCGTCTGCTGTTTCTGGGTCTCCACCGAACCATGGAAGCAACCCGATTCAATCCCCTCCCCGCTCGCCCGCTTCATCGCACAGTCACTCCTCTCCCGATTCTTCCTTTCATTCTCCCGCTCGTGTCTACCCTCCTCTCTATGACCCTTTCCTGAAGAACCATTACCCTGCCCACTTTCTTCTTCATTCCCTCTCCCCAATCTCGACTGATTCCCTCCTTGACGAGTTTTCTTCCCTCTTAGATTCCTCATCAACAGGTTTTTCGCCCCCTCCCATCGTCACGGATCCCGCACTACATCACATTTTCGTTCTGGATCCGCCTTCCTCATCCCTTCTTCCCCTCCACCTTTTTCTTTTTCCCCTTCTTCTCCCTGTTTCGCTATTAAGAATTCAGAGAAATGTTACCGAAAGAACTTTCGGTGACTTACTCAATATCGACGACATCGTTGATTACGTTACTTCGGCGGCTTCCTTTAGATTCCAGGACAGTAAAAGGAACCTCTTCATCCTGAAAAGAAAGTGTGCTCCCGAACTCCTATCTCATTCCCTCTTCTCATCAACCATCTTCAACCATCTCGTCATTGATTCACGACCTCTCTCCTCCTTGTCCCCTCGGGAGTTGATGAGAGCCCAGCTGGACTTGGCTGAGTTCCAGGTCAGAAGTGCTCAAGAGATTTTGGCAAGCTTCTTCTGCTTTGCCATGTGTATGCCAAGATTGAGGCAAGATCGGCGCAACCTTGGGTGGGGGAAGGACTGTTAACTTTGTTGCAGAACCTCCCTGGATTGGCTACATCGCCTCTACTGGCTATTCCAGTTTCGGCGTTCTTCAAGGATTTTTTTCCACTCCCTTGGCGACGACGCTGCTCAGGACCTTCACCTTGATAAACTCGCAAACTGGGGTCCACGACCCTGGTTTCGTTTTTTGAAGAAGAGAGCGTGCGGCAAGCTTCCTGTCTACGTTC